ACACACACATGCATGTCATGGTTGCCCACATTGTGAATGTGTCGTGAATTTGGTATGTGAAATAGGGATGATATGCTAATGAATGTGTTGTTTCAAAAACTTTCACGAACTTTCACCAACCTCACGAATGAAATTGATGCATGCCTGACCTGCCTCTGGTCTGCCATCCACACCCCCGCCCAGCCCCCACCCGACCCCCACGCCCCAACCCAGCCCCCATCCAACCCCCGTTAAGACGTTCCCACAGGGGCCGCAAATTTTTATTTTATTTTTCTTGGGTTGCCGACCCTCCTCCCTGCGCACCTGCGTCGCCAAACCGCAACTCGGGGGACGCATGAATTTTCCCGGCCCACCCTGCCAGACCCATGTTTAGGACCTCCCCGTTTCTTATTTTTTTGACGGTCTGCCACTTCGAGGGGGTGCCCCCAACCCCCCCCACCCGAAACCCGCTCCCCGCTCCCAAACCCCCCTCCCCGATCGGGCACGGCCGCGGCCGGAAGTTCTCGGCCGGAGCGGCCAAGGCCGGGGGGGTCCTGGCCACGGCCGGCGGCCGCGGCCACGGGGGAACATAGGGTTCTGGCCCTCCTGGGTGGATGGCGATCAGGTTGAGGGAATGGGTTCAATGTTGTTCAGGAAAGAGGATGTGTACTGGCTCGCTGAATGGTGCATCGCCAACAGTATGCTACGTATGGGGGACTATGTGTGGAGGCAAGTCAGGGGTATCCCCATGGGCTTGGCCTGCTCCCCAATCTGGTGCGATATATACTTCTTCAAGTATGAGTACCACGCCATGATGAGGTTGGCTGATACCGAGAATGCGCATCTAATACCGTATTTCTCAGACACCTTCAGATATATCGACGACTTGAGTGCAATCAACAACACCATCATCAGGAGCTTTATGCGGAGGAGGGAGGACAGGGAGGAAAATGACCCTTGCTGGATCTACCCGGACGAATACATCAAAATCAAGGAGAATACTGAAGTGGTCGTGGACGGGTATGGCCGAAGAGCCAACTTTCTTAGCGGGACCATCGCAATCACCTCTCCAGAAACGGGCGCGTACATTACCTCCAGACACGACAAGCGAGAAGGACTGGGCTTTGCCCCATGCAGATTCATGAAATACAAGTCTAATAGGAGTGCCAAGCAGGCGTTGCACATTATCACGGCCCAGGTCGCGCAGATCTTGTTGCTATGCTCCGAACCTAATGATGCGGTCATTGAGATCGACAAGCTGGTAACCACGATGAGGGACAACGGTTTCGCCAGGGATGCTTGTTGGGGGGTGGTTAGGAAGACTCTACGGAACGCATATCGCTACCAGCCTGGCAGGGTTTCCGTGCACATGGTCAGAGAAGCACTGTCTGGCATGTATGGTTTCACAGACTGATTGTACCTTCCGTGTGCGTGGATGTGTCTGTGTATGTGCGTATGTGTGTTTGGTGTCCGGGGGACGACTTGGCCGAGAGGGCCGGTTGTTCTCCGGAAAACCCTCCCCTCGGACCCTGTTCTCCCCTGGAGGGAACGGGGCGGGACACACACACACACACACACACACACACACACACACACACACACACACACGCATACAGATGAGTAGAAGGAGAGACGCTATGGATGTCGGAAGTACGGGCTCACGAAGCTGGTCGACGTGACGGGCGAGCGCATGCATCCCTCTCCCTCGCTCCGCTATCTTTCCTATTTTTCCATTTTCCTTCCGTTCCTTTTTTTTTTTTTTTTTTTTTTTTTTCCTTCTTTATTTCCTTCTTTTCCCCCCTTTTTTTCCCTTTTTTTCCCTTTTTTCCGTATTCCTGAAAGGAATAACTCGGACACGGCTTCATGAATAAACCCCCAGGTAATCAAAAGCCAGTTAAACAGTGGATTATGGGAGCAGCCTGCTCTCGGGACGTCTCGAATAAGGTACAGGAAAGGGGTGATAAGTAGGCGCACGGTATTGTAAGTAGGCCAGGGATTAGTCTTGCTTTTTGCGGCCCTGTTTAGATTTTTTTGCCTTTCTCATGTCCTGCTTCTCGCCCTTGTCACTTTTTCTTTTTCTTTTTTTCATTTCGTTTTTTTTTTGTTTTGTTTTTTTGTTTTGTTTTTTGTTTGTTTGTTTGTTTGTTTGTTTGTTTGTTTGTTTGTTT